GGCGCGAAGCCCGTGGGGCACACGCAGCGCCCCGGCGCCACGCACTCGCCGCCCGCGCAGCCGCCCGGGCAGTCGGGCGCGCAGCCGCGCTTGCGGTCGCGCTTGTAGCCCGCGCAGCACTTGCTCACCACGCGCGACATGCGCTTGCGCTGCACACACACGCACGCGCACAATGGCACTCAGAGGGCGGATGGATGGATGGATGAGTGGATGAATGAATGAATGGAGAGATGAATAAACAAGTGAATTGAATGATCGAATGAGTGGATGAATGATGAGTGGATAAATGAATGACTGGATGAAAGAATGAGCGCATAAATGAATGGATGAATGGACGAATGAATGAGTGAATGAGTGAATGGATGATGAATGGATGGATAAATGAGGAATGATGAATGTGTGAAACGACGAATGAATGAGTGAATGGATGAATGAATGAATGAGTGGACGAATGAACAATGAATAAATGAATGGATGGATGAATGGATGAATGAATGAATGAGTGATGGATAAATGGATAGGTAATGAATGGCTGAATGAATGAGTGGTTGGCTGAATGAATAGATAAATGAAAGAATAAATGTAAACGTAAATTTTATAAGAATTATTGAACAATAAATTTGTCTAGCAATGAATGAATGAATAAACTAATATTGAATAAATGTTAACATCAATTTTAAATGAACGAATCAATTGCTCTATGTTCCCTCCACTAATTTCCGTAAATGAGGTAACGCTCCAGCCGAGCAACCTCTAAATTCCCAACGGGTCTCTCCATTTGTGACGTAGTGTAGTGCATGAAAGTGTAAATGTAAAGTTGTTTGTGCGTGTGTGTGTGTGTGTGAAAAGAGAGAAGATGGGGAAGGATGAGGAGGAAAAGATCACGTGCGGTCAGTTTGTTAAGGTATTTCCCTGTCATTCGACTGGTATTGATAGTAAAAATCATGGAACACTACTGATTAGAGCTTCTACCAATTACAATTCTGCAGACTATAATTCTCCTCTATCTAGTCAGTGGTTCAATTCGTCACCTTCCTCCATCGGAATTCCGTGACCTTCGGAACCTGAACCCGTTCTATTAACCGTTTACTCATTATTTAGCCGTTTGGAAACAACATTGTTTTAGAGAGAACATTTAGCCATTTGGAAAGGAATATGTGTTCTCTCAATTCTCTGTAAGAAACTCCATTTATCCTAGTATTAGCCCTGACAAAAAATACTCATTTAAAGATCCTAGTGACATACAACACTACTGCACTTGGTAGGTTGGTCGAATTCGACTCACTCTCTGGAAAAGAATTGTAGAGGCTAGCTGCTTACTTCGATAGTTTTCCTTGGTTTTTACGATCAATAGTAGGCGAATGCAGCAACGGTCCTCCAACCGCTCACGAACTTTCCTTCCTCAGTCTTGTCCTCTCCTCTCCCCTCATACTCCTTACACACGCACTCTTACAGTCGTGAACTTAGCAGTTTGTCGTGGCCTGGGGCAGTGGAGAAACCTGGAGAGGGAAACCTTACTACCTTCCAAGATATAAAACGAACTGACCTTTCGGGACTAATGGGTGTAGTTGAAGCACCCGAAAACAAAATTTTCAATTTATCAATCAATTCTTCTCTATCTCGTCCCTTCCTTTCTCTTTCCCTCCTTCTCCCACTCTCTGTCTCTCTCCATTTCCGCATGAGTACTAATAAAGTATAGCGTTATTTGCAGGGCAGCCAGACCCGCACTATTGCATTTTGCGAGTAAGGGTGCGGTCAGAGGCGATGGCCGAACTCGCGTTCAGGAGAACATTTCTGTTTACGAACATTGAAACTCCCTCTAGAGCTCGGGCCCGGGAGCTCTACAAGTGACGCCTTCTGACAAAAGCGGCCGAACTTCTGAGCAAGTCGGCAGAAAAGTGCCTATCAAATGTACGTGAATTATCCTGCCGCACTGAAACATTCAACATGTACATAAACTTCTTTACTTAGTTTATGAATAATGCTCTATGGAAAACCTCAGATACAATTTTCCGAATGTATGACAAGAATTTCAGATAAAGTGTATAAAATGTTGTGCTAATAGTTCCTCCTAAACGTAAACGTAACCTCACTAATCCAATAGGTAAGTGAGATTTCTTTTACCAACATATTTCTTGTGTCAATTCAAACATTTCTCATATTATACAGCTCTTGTCGAGCAGTTTTAATCTTTACTATTTCGTTATGTAGCCTGTACGTTACCATTAGAAGACAAATTTTAGTGCAGTCAAATGCAGTGTGACTGCAACCGTTTTAAAGAATCAGTCGGCCGTTTGCGTCAGAACTTTTCTTTGGCCGAACACGTATCCACTCTACCCTTAACAAAGTATAAACAAGTGTTTCCTCAATATTTTCGAATCTTATTCATATGTAATAGTTATAAACGGCGTTTTAGTTTGACACCCTGTTGGAGTACCTATATTCCTCAGGACTGTCAGTTGGAGAAAATATTGCCTTTAGAAAAGTAGTTCGTTCAAAAGAGTCTTCAGTACGTAAGACCACATTTTGAAACGTTGTCTTCCCGAGATACGCCGCATCCTAAGCATGGCTGCCAACGTTTTGGCGACTTTCTTTAGTGCAAATTAAGAACGGGCAATAATGCTTTTTCAGGGCTAATATTTCGCCGAAACGTTAGCAACCCTGCCTAGAACAAGGAGTTTTCCAAACATCCGAAATTCGATTGATTTCGACAACGGAAATATACGTCTTGGATACTTCATTTTCCTGAGCTTTCAAAGTTTTAACTCCGCCAAAAAAAATATGTATTTCAAATAGAATATTAAATCCACTTTTAAAAATATTTTGACAACAACTTACAGAAAAATTCTTCAATATCAACGACTCAACTTGAGTGAGAAGTGATTCTATACCTCAGAGAATAAACGAATTCGATAAAAATAAAACTGAATAATATTATCATTTATAGATGAACGAGTAGAATATTTTTGCAGATGAACTGTTAGAACAGTTAGAAAAAATTTTAAAGCTATATAAACTAATTTAATTTGCAAACTTTGTGTTCAAGGCTTTACGACGTTCAATGGAAAGAAGAAATGCGGCAAGTAACGTCATTGAAAAAAACCGCTTGATTCTTTATGATTGTGCTTGACCGCAGCTCGATATCACGAGGTTTTCAGCGAAACAAATGGGATTACTCATATTGTAAGCTTCCGCCCACCAAAGAATCCGGCGCAAAAAATGAAGATAAAAACGGTGGCGTCTTTTTCTAGTAGCTTTCTTTGTTCAAATCCAGTTAAGCGAAATGTGATTACACCAACAAGGTGGCCATATCAAGAAAATTACAAACAATACGTTTTTCTTTTCAGATTTT